TATGGGGCTTTAAGCACCACCTTAATATCTTTGAGGCTGACTATGCTATCTTCCTGTCAAAATTTTAAAAGGTTCAGGAATTTAGTTATTTCTCTGCTTAAGGGTATCATTGTTGTGAACGTTGTACTCCTCCAATGGTCGCATTCATCTTAATTAATCTTTATCTCACTTTTAATGAAGAGTATCTTTCTTAATTGATCTTAATATTCCCCTCTCGAAATATGGCATGAACTTTACTGCAATAATTTTGAGAAGTATTCAGAAAGCCTGTGAACAAGGAGAAACTTATAACTTACTTCATTCACATTATTATGTCATGTAAACAAAGTTATTTCTTGATCCATTTAGGAGTACACTTTTCTTATTTCACTTCAAGAACTCAACGATGTCTTTTATTAACTGTACTTTTGCAAGTCACGCTTGCATCTTTTTCTTGTCTTTTGATTAGTATTTACTATGACGGTGCATTTCTATTGTGTCATGGTTAATACGAGGATAACATAAGAGTTACCCAAACTTCTCTCGCTATGCGGGATACCAAAACATATGAATGATCACAAAACTTCTTCCGCCATGCAGGATTGACTAACATAAGTACTATGCCAAAACTTCTCCTCATGCGGGATACATCTATAAGAAAACTTAGTTATTACAACTAAAACATTCACTTATACTTCATTTTCCAATTAAATCTTCCCATTAGCTTCAATTTAATCAGAAAATTAGTAAACTAACAAAAAAATATCTGAACTGGTTTGACTCAAGCCTTTTCATTCACATACCCCAGCATTACAGCCCGTTGGCATGCAGACGAGTGATCTCGTCGGTTAAAAATAAAACATATTATATGCTTCTGCATCAATTCTACATCACCATTGGGCAGAATATAGAATTAATGCATAAAACTCATAAATTAACTTGAAATCCATATAACTACTCTTTAAAATTAAATTTTCTCGTTGGTTCAAATTTAATTAGAAGATAATCAACATCATTGCAGCAGAAACTTGATAATGAAATACATTCTTTTAGTTCAGGAGCATTTCTTGGTTCTTATCTACTCTCTGAAAAATTGACCACGTTGATGTAAAATTTATCAGAGATTTAAACTTTAAACTTAAATTCATTATAATATTAACATCATCAACGTTGATCAGAAAATGACAATACCATAATCTTATTTAAACAAAAAAATGGACTACTCCTCTAATTTAAATTTTCTCGTTGGTTTCAATTTAATTAGAGTATAAATATAATCATAGTTTACTAAATATAACTGTTCTTTAAATTAAATTCTCCTGTTGGTTTGAATTTAATTAGAAGATAATAAACATTAAACTTTACAGCGGAAACTTAAACATAATTGGTGAATTTTACCCAGAGGAAAAATTCTCTTTGCTATTTTTCATTGAGCCATTAATCATTTTCCAGGAAATAAACAATTTACTGGAAAAGGAAAAAAGAAAATGGCTCAATTCGTTCTCGCTTCATTCGGCTGGGTCTGAATTCACTGGCCCATTTCATGGCCATCAAGAACTCCTTCCCGTGCCGCAACTTTGGGCTCGGGCTGAAAAAGTGGCTCAGCGCTCTAGCCCACCTGGGCCAAATTTGAGTCCAGTTGATCTGCGCCGTTCGATGGAGATCGACGGCTGCGCGTGCTCTTCGGCCGAACAAAAACGGCGACGGCGCCGCTCCCCCGAAAACCCTTGCTCATTCTCACTCCCTCCTCTTTCTCTCTGATAGCCACGATGGAGAGCAGAGCTGTAGTGGCTGACTGTGTTCACCGGAGGAAGGTGACAGTGCCGCCGCAGGCCCCCTCGCCAGTGCGCGCGTTCGCCCGAGGGTGAGCGCGCTGCCATCGAGCGGCCTTGCGATGGTGCTCTGAGCCCGAGCTGTCGGAGTTTGGCTCTCTTCTACCACGCGTGCCGGCGCGGTCTTCTTCCCGCTCAACGGCGGTAGCGACAACGGCGAGGGAAAAACCTAGGTAGGTTCCTCCCCTCTCTGTCCTTTCTTCTAGGGTTAGGTCTTAGGGTTAGGGTTCGGGTTTGGTTGGTTAGGGTTTGGCTGAACCCACTGCTACTGTGTTTCTTCCCCGGATCCATCTACGCAAGTTAGGGTTCAGGTTTGGGTTGATCCGAATCGTACCCCCTTTCAGCTGTTGTTCTTCCCCTTCTAGGGTTAGGGTTCGAAACCCTCTGCATCTCTTTTCTTCACCCCAACTAGGGTTAGGATTCCAATTCAAACCGGATCGAACCCTCTGCTTCTCTGTCTCTTCAATTTCTTTTTCAATTTTCTACCCCACACTCGATCTACACACTCAGAAAACCTGGCTCTGGTACCATTGATAGGACTGAAAGTACTTCTAGGCGTAGATCAGCGAGTAATACATAGCTTAGGTGAGGGGACTTGCTGATGTACCTCACCATGCGCAGCCACGGCCATGGTGCCACCGCGGCATGGCCACTAGAGTCGTAGTAGTAGGGGAAGCATAGACGCACCCGCTAGGTTGTTGTAGGTAGCAGCAGTGCAGATGCACTGCTGGTGGCGGCGGCGAAAGCAATGGCGCTTCTCGTCGCTTACAGCTCCCCCTTCTAGATCGAACTGGGGTTAGGACATCACGGTGGGGCTGGCGGCTGTGGTGAATCTCGTATCATGTGCCCCAGCCCCCACCGTCCTTTTAATAGTGCTGTGCGATGGGGGCCCATCAGCCACTTAGAACCGGCTGAGCGCCTCCGATCAGGACGCGGATCAAGAGCTCAATTGGTCGTTGGGCCAAATGGTGGAGATCATCCTAACAAGATTGAGTTATTTTTCCTCAAGTCCTCAACATACTATTAAGTGGGAATTGAACATACTTACATGTAATTTGCTACTATGAATGGCTATCCTTTCTTCATGGTCTTAAAAGTTAGTGCTCTTGTTGAACTATGATAGCCTTTATTTCTCTGTTTTGTTATGTGTAGTGAGTATAGCAGATATATGTTGTCTCGGTGTGGTTTAAATTATTCTGTTACAGGAACAAGTTCTACTGAACTGCTCATCAACTCTGCCTGCTTGGGATAAGGCTGCAAGTGACCTGACAACACGGAGTTCAAGAACTGATAATATTGAGAATCTTGATTTAGGACATACTGATGTTATGTCCAAACACCAATCATTTATTCTAGGTACGTTTTGCCAGAACTGACATGTTTGCATGACTGATTTTTTTATTTTACCAAATATCAGCAACTAAATGCATATATATATATATATATATATATATATATATATATATATATATATATATATATATATATATTCTTTTACAAGACTTTCGCACCCCAAAACCTGCTGTCGTTTGTTCGTTGAGTGCAATACTGTGGAATACTGAAGTTCACAAGAAGATAGCTCATTCTTTGGATGACAGTGAAAATCTCAGTGAAACAAGTCCCATAAGCTTCAGTTTTCAATCACAACAGCTTGCTACAAACAATTCATATAAATGTAAGATCAGATTTTGCTTACTTCTGATTTTTGTAGCATCAAGATATATGAATAATTTAGGTTTGGTTATTGAAGATGTTTCTCATTGCATATATTTCAGTATGCAAGTTCTATCTAAAAAGGACTGGTTTGTCTATCTTATCCGTATGAACAGTAGGGGAGGACCGCACTTGAATATATGTTACTAGGGTATTTGTACAAGAGGTCCTACATGGCCAAACTTTTCAAGGATAAACAAGACCAACGGGACTTTGGTGCTCCACTGCTAAATCTGAAATAATACAACATCTAAGGCTACTCTTTAACAATTGTGATTCAACTATAGCAAGCTTTTTCCACATGTGGTAAAAACTTCTTAGAAACCTTTGTTTTACTGGCCGTCAAGCACCATATCTGAATCCTACATACTCTTAGTCTCTTACAAAGATGTTTGTTAGAGCATCTCCACTAGTCTCCAATATCTCATCCCCATTAAAATGGTATTTGGGTCACCCAATACTATTTCTAGGATTATTAGGGGAGATAGTTTTGCAGCCCCCAATAGTTCGTTCCAATTATTCTTTCTCGCAGATGGACCCCACCTGTATGTGGGTTATTTTATTTTCCTTCCTCTCCATCTTCATTGAGCATATATTTTTTTTTCGAAAGGACGGCAAAAGCTTTGCCACGATTTCTATTAGACGATGAAAGAAAAAAAAGGCAAATGCCCACCCAGTTTTTTGAGCGGAAACTGGGTCGAAAAACCATACAACTCAGGAGAGTGCACCACTCCTCCTGGACAACTTTTGTACAACAACTGGGCAACTATCACAACTCACACCACTACTTCATCCAACTTTGTCAGAACGACCCAACTAAACAACTCAACTATCAACTAACAAGGACCGAAGAAGACGACGTCCTGCCGAGCGACACCAAACAGCAAGGATCAATCGCGAAACTAGAATGCCTATCCATGCCCCCAAGGAGGAAACGACGCTAAAAGCGCCGACATGGTAGCCCGCCAAGGAAGGTTTTCACCTGCAACATCCAGTACGGTAGGAGAAGAGGTAGGAAAGGACACCTTCAAGAAGGGAACGACGTCTACAGACGTCGTCGTCCATGCTTTCGCCCCCACCTCAAACCACCTCCACACCGTCACCTCCAGAGGCCCAACCCTACCAGGAGGCAGGGTGCGGCGCCTAGACGTCGCCCCTAGGGACGCCGACCAGGAGAAGCGTCGGGGGAACCCGCCGGAGAGTCCCCCCCCACGACAACTGGCAATGCCGGTCAGCAGTAGGCAGAACCGGCCAGCTCCCCCATGAAAACTAGCCCGGGGAAGGGGAAAAGCAGATGGCAGGGAGAAGAGGGCTGGGATCAGAAGAAGCCCCAGTCGCCCAACCCACCAATGTCCCCACCCCCTACCGAGCCGGCCCCGCAACAACCACGCCGCACAACACCTCTAGCAGCCTCCGCGCCGAACTGCCGTCACGCCCGCTCCCCAGCCCTCCGCCCGGCCGGACTGGGAAAACACCATGACAACGCCTCCAACGAGGAAAACGGCGCCCGAAGGCGTCGCTGTCGGCTTGCCAGCAGATCCGACATGGCTTTCACCGGTGTTGCCCACGTCCAGCACAAACGAAACAGGGAGCCTTGAAGTCACGCCGCCCCTGCCCTCCACCACCGCCCCACGCCGCATCGACCGCATCGTCGCCAGCACCGGTGAGCTCCAGCCGGATCCGTATGGGCGGCAGCAGCTGCAGCCGCTGGGATGGCCGGATTCGGAGGAAGGGGAGCCAGAGCCTTCTCTAGATGGGCGGGTAGCGTGCGCCCACCAGATCCGCCCTAGCCATGCGGCCACCTCGCAGACCCACCGCTCACCTCGATCTCCGCGCCACCAACTGATGCAGCACGACTCCGCCGGAGCTCTGCACAGATCCGCCCTCGGGAGTGCCGGATCTGGCCGCCGGGATGCCGAATCCGTGCGGGGGCTTGCCGCCGTCGACGAGCCTAGTGACGCTCGAGTAGCCACAGTAGACCACAGCTTGGGAAGAAGCCCCGCCGCTGCCTTCCTTGCGCTCGCCCGAGCTTCCGGCGGCGCGCTCTGGCAGCGGCGAGGAAGACGAGGCCAGGGGGAGGTGTTGGCGGCGCCGGGCAGTGGTTCCGCCCGTGTCACCCCGAGAGGGACGACGTGGGGGACGAGCGGGGTTGTGAGCTTCATTGAGCATATATCTCCCTTCGCATCCCAGTTCATCACCAGGCCCGGCCCTGGGAGGGGCGAGAGGGGCAGTCGTCCCAGGCTAGGGAGCCAATGGGCCCCTCCCTAGGTATGTAGAGTATACATTAGTATTATTCAGCATCTCAGAACCTAGTAACATACGGAGGCAGCTAGGCACGCAGCAGCCCAGTAACACACGCATCTGTCACGAACTCGTCTCCGCGATCACGCTCTGCACGACGACACGACTCGTCTCTGATTTCTCGGCTTTGGCTGTTGAACTTCCTCTACATAGATGTGCTCGGCTCAGGGTCAGGCCGTCAGGGACATCCTCACGCCACCGCCGCAAGGCATCGAGTCGATCGCCGGCCGGGCGCGTCCGCATAGGGCGAGGATGATGAGTCGGCAACGACGTATTCTAGGCTTCGAGCAGGGAGGCGGTAGCAACCAGGTACGAATCTCTTCCTATGATCCCTAATCATGTACATAGCCGACGATACCCAACTTTTATGTAATTGTGTATTTATGTTGAATCTAATAAGTGTTTTTGTGATTGATTAATAAGTGATTCAGTGACCACGACTGCCCCCGGACATCATTTGGGATTTGCAAATTGTGATTTAATCTGCAAGGCACTTGACTCCCTAAGGTAGTGTATACTTATTTAATCTTTGTGAATTTACTTGTCTAGCGTAATGATATTATTTAAAATTATTTGTTACTAATTGTTTCTCTAAATTTTAATAGTAATAATTTGACAAATAATGTGACACCATCATCGATAACTTCGCATCGACGAATGCTAGAAGAAATTTTTGAGGTAACAATTTAATACATATATGAATTATTACATATGAATATTGTTTTTGCATTTAGTTAACTGCTTATTAGTAACATCCTGTATATATATATATATATATAGTATATAGGTGGTACTAGTAGTATTATTATATTTATATAAAAAAGTCTAAAATTTTAGTTTCGTTCTAGGTTAAAAAAACTCAGGACAAGCCCTGTTCATCACCGGCCACCCCTCATCAGCCTCGCCTCCCTTTCCCTGCTAGCTGCACCTCTCCCTCGAGCCGTCCATGGAAGCCCTCGACATCGATTGCCATTGAAGCAGCTACAAGCAGAGAGCACAATTCCCCCTCCCCCAATTTTGGTCAACAACAGAGATCACGACATTGATTCTGGTGGTGCAGGATCTCATTGGATGAGGGCAGCTTACCGGTAGCTCAGGATGTTGTGGCCACCATTGCTTTGGGTTGCGGTCACACGGCTAAGGTCGGATTGACGACGGTCATCTCTTTCTTATCTGTCCCCGCTGTGGGTCCATCTCGCTTGTCCTCGGTTTAGCACAAGCACAGATCGTCAGAGTTCGGTGGGAGGGGGAGGCTTGGGGACAACAGCTCGGAGCTGGGCTTATAGGCACACGCACCAGCAGCTTTGGACTGGGCTCGCATGAAGTGGGCGTGCGCTAACCTGAGAGGCTCCAGCTTGGGGCCGATGGATTGGGGCTTGGGCTCATCGGCATGGGCATGGATTGGCGGGTGCTTGGACAGAGTTTGTGGCCATGGCACATGGTGAGTGGGGAAGAAGTGGTAGTTATTGTGGGGCTCATGCTATTTGGGGAGATGAACTCCCACTTTATTTGAGAGGAGATGGGAGTTTTTTGGTGGCCACCAAAAAAGAGAGAACTATTGTGGGGACTACTAGAGCAAGAAAATAGCTCTATCTCCCTCAATATGATAGTTTTATGGGGATGAGAAGTCATATTGAGAGACTGTTGGAGATGCTGTTAGGAGGCACCTTGTCAGAGTATTCTATTTCTCTGCAGCCAAATCTCCCAGCATGCCATGCCATGCCAAGGTAATATGCTCGTTGAACATGTTAAAAGTTGTTCCATCTTTGCTTCAATCTTTCAATGATCTGAAGAGGGAGATAGGAGCTAACTCCTATTAAATTAGAATTTTAGTTATGCAGTAGTATTTGCTTTTGTGACTTAAAACACCTGTTCCTTCTGTACTAAAATCTTATGCAGCACAAGATACTCTGATGAAGCCTTCATTCAGCAGAATTAAATCAACAGAAAAAAGGAAGTTGAGATGTTCATCAGGTAGGTATTATCGGTTTATTACAATTATAAATGCATGCACATCTACAGGCCTTTGATCGCATTGTTTATTTATTTTGTCAATATTATTTTGCTCCATTATTAAAAGGAAATTCTCCTTACACTACCTATAATCATCGTTGCATCAGAACAATCTTATACTGATAATTCAAAAAAATCAAGTCATCCTGATGCTGTGGCAAATCATGCTAATCATGTTAGTTCATCAAGTGCAATTCTTCACATGCCAGTCATTCAGGTATGGACTTAGCTCTTTGCCAGAGGAATAGCCACAATAATTCTAGTATGCATGACAAACTATTATTTGTGAAATGGAGTATAGTTATATGCGGGGCCAAGAGCGTTATATGACAGTAGCAGAATCTTTTTGTGTGGCAGCAGCAGCATTTAGGGTTTAAAAGGTGTCTTTTTTTGTTAAGGTTTTTGGTATGCTATGTATATGATTGTTATTTTCTTCCTCTTTCAGATCAGGGTTTGCCTGTATTTTGGAAGGCAATCAGTTCCTGGAGTTTGTCCAGTTTGTACACCAAACTTGCTGTCCATCTGAATGATTCCCTTATGTTCCCTCATAATGTGTATACAGTAGTGCACTAGTGCTAGACTGTATTTTAGAAACAAATAAGAAACACTTTGAAGTTGATTTCAGCTATAAACCAGCTTGTGCAGTTTTATGTCAAAAGTAACCTTATTTAGAGTTCGGTGTATTCCCAGTATGCGTACTTAGGAAACATGAAGCTTTAGCTGCATGTCTTGATCATCACAACAGGTTTCTGAAAATCATGGAAGAAAGCATGCAGAGTTACTGAAGACCAGTAGTCAAGGAGGTGAAGGAATTGCAGAAGGTATAATTAATCCCGAAACTGTTCTGTCTTCACATATAATTATAAGACAATATCTGATCTTCCTTATTTACCATGCAGTCCAACAGGGTTATTTAGAAACAAAGAATTTGGACACAGGAAGGAAGATAAGTCCTTTTTATCTTTTCTATATGTCATCAGCCGTGCTGTTAATTGCAATGAATAATATATAGTTTGCAAATAAAAAAATTTGAAGCCTTGATCTATAAAAGGTTAAGAAGACTTTTACAAGTTACATTTCTTCTCTTAAAACCAATTGAGGTAGAGGGTAGCATCTTAGACTCATAGGTATCTTGCAATTTAGACAAACCATGGAACTCAATGTACTCCATAAGGGGAAGTGGTGCAGAACAAACGACTCTGTTGCTTTGGTTTTATTCTTTCAATCTAGTTCATTTTTTTTATCACTCGTGATCATCCAGTTGGAATATTTAACAAATTTAAAATATTAGGCCTTCTTAATTTTTTGGAACCAGCCGGAAATAGGGAAAGGTAGACATGTTAGATAATCTACTGCTACCTTGTGTGAACACAGCAAGGGGAAGACGACGCCGAAAAGGCCCCCTGCTGTGATACAGTAGTCGCTGCAGGTGCAGGCGCCGAACTGCTCACCTGCAGCACTGTAGCCACATGCAGTGGATGGCGCAGAGTCAGCCCTGTATGTTATCTAGTCACTGTTGCAGCAGGGCAACTGTACTAGGACTAGATGGATAGAGTTATATAAATAGACTACCACAACAACTCAGTAAAGAGAGTTTAGATTTGCCATATCTCAGATAGGGTTTCGACCAATGCTGATGTCTTGTACTGTGTGTGCATGCTCTGTTCTCCCTTGTTCTTCAAGCTCTAGCCATAGTGTGTGGGGACGGACAACGTTTATTCGTGGTCGGCACGGCTAGTGGGTGTTCGGTAAGACTGGTGAGTGGTTCACTCACCTAAGCCGGTGATCCTGTGGGCCAACAAGTGGTATCAGAGCCGTACAAGCGCCGTCGCCAGACTAACCGCTGGCGATGACGGACGGTTCGGAGATGGACGACAGCAGTGGCACTGCTGTGGCTGTCTAGCCACGACCGGAGGTCGTTGTTCGCACGGTGCGGGAGGTCAGCGGCACCAGTTGGCCAACGTTGACTCGCACCAACTATGGAGAGTGGTCGGTGACCATGAAGGTCAAGCTCAGAGCCCGGCGGCTCTGGAATGCTGTTGACAAGCACCACAATGAGGAGGATGACATGTCAGCGCTGGAGGCTATCCTCGCTGCTGTACCGGCGGAGTATAGGGAGTCGTTGGGGGCGAAGAGCTCGGCTAAGGAGGTGTGGGAGGCTATTGCGGCGATGCGCGTCGGTTTCGACCACGCAAAGAAGGCAACGACTCAGCTTTTGAAGCAGGAGTACACCAACCTTAAGTTCAAGGATGGTGAAACGGTGGAGGACTTCTCCCTCCGCCTGCAGACGCTCATCAGCAAGCTGAAGAGCCATGGCGTCACCATCGACGAAGAGGAGGCGGTCTTCAAGTACCTCCACTTCCGTGCTGGCAAAGTACATCAAGATCGCTCTCTCCATAGAGACGATGCTGGACTTGTCCACCCTCACCATTGAGGATGTGACAGGCCGTCTGTGGGCGGTGGACGAGCGCCTAGAGCAAGCAACAACAACAAAGGACAGCGAAAAACTCCTGCTGACGGAAGAGGAGTGGGTTGCTCGGAGGAACTCCAAGAAGGCAGCCTCCTCCAGCCGCGGTGGCAATGGCAAGCGCCGCGGCAAGGCTTCTTCAGAGAAGAAGCAGGTCGACTCCAACGCCTACCGGCATTGCGGGAAGATGGGCCATTGGGCATAGGAGTGCCCAAACCGCAAGTAGGAGAAAAAGGCTTAGGCTCACTTGGCGCAAGCCGATGATGAGGATGAAGCCACTATCCTGATGGCGACGTTCTGTGCACTGCACGACGTCGAGGCCGAGGAGAGGGAAGAGGCGACGACGGTGGAAGGACTTGGGAAGGACCTAAAGACCATTAACCTCGACGAACCACGTGCCCAAGTCCACCTCGGACGTGTGGGCACCGACTAGGAGCAGCGATGGTATCTGGACTTCGGTGCCAGCAACCACACGACGAGCTCTAAGGAATCCTTCTTCGAGCTCGACGATGATGTTACTGGTACGGTGAAGTTTGGTGACGACTCAAGGGTGGCTATCCAAGGGCGTGACATCATTATCTTTATGTGCCAGAACGGGGAGCACCGCGCGCTAACAGATGTATACTACATCCCGTAGCTACGTTCCAGCATCACCAGCATTGGTCAGTTGGATGAGCGCGGTAGCGAGGTACTGATCAAGGACAGAGTCCTTAGGATCAGGGACTAGGAGCAACGACTTCTTGCCAAGGTGAAGAGGTCCCTGAACCGGTTGTACCTACTCGACCTAAAGGTAGAGCAGCCGGTGTGCTGGCGGCAAGGCACTCCGAGGAACCATGGATGTGGCATGCCGGTTCGGACATCTCAGCTTCGACGCGCTTGGTCGGCTCGAGAGGATGGTTCGAGGGCTACCCCACATCAAGCACGGAGGCGAGCTGTGTGATAGCTGCCTGCCCAGGAAGTAGAGGAGGCTACCTTTCCCAAATGCGGCCAAGTATCGCGCGAAGGACGCTCTCGAGCTTGTCCACGGCGACCTCTGCGGGCCAATCACGCCTGCTACAAATGGTGGTCGGCGGTACTTCCTCCTGCTCATGGATGATTGCAGTCGCTACATGTGGCTGCAACTCTTGATGAGCAAGGATGAAGCGACAACGGCGATCAAGAAGTTCAAGACGCGCATGGAGGCTGAGAGCGGCAAGAAGCTCCGTGTGCTGAGGACTGATCGCGGCAGCGAATTCACTTCGGTGGAGTTCGCTGCATACTACGCGGATCAGGATGCGGGGCAACACCACACGCGCCCGTACTCGCCACAATAGAATGGCGTGGTGGAGAGGCGGAACCAGACGGTGGTCGGCATGGCCCGATCCATGATGAAGGCCAAAGGCATGCCGGCAAGGTTCTAGGGTGAGGCAGTGACCATGGTGGTGTTCATCCTCAACCGATCTCCGACCAAAGCCTTGACGGGCAAGACGCCGTTCGAAGCTTGGTATGGGCGCAAGCCGAGCGTGTCCTTCCTCCGGACATTCGGCTGCATCGGCCATATCAGGAAGACAAAGACGAACCTCACCAAGCTGGAGGACAGGAGCACACCCATGGTGTTCCTAGGCTACGCGGAGGGTACCAAGGCGTACCGGCTCTACGACCCACGCGGAGACAAGGTGCTTGTCCCGCGCGATGTTGTGTTCGACGAGGAGGCGGCTTGGGACTGGAGCAGTCCGAGACGGGGGAAGCTGGCAGCTTCACCAACACCTTTATTGTCGAGCACTTGGTCATCCACGGTGGTGGAGACGCTGGGGAAGAAGTGCAGAGCACTCCGACGGTAGAGCCAAGCACTCCTGGGGCAGTACCGAGCACTTCAGGAGGGATGCCGAGCACTCCGGGAGGAGTGCTGAGCACTTCTAGAGGGATGCCGCGCACGCCAGGAGTGGTGCCGGAGGTTCTGCAGTGGTGGCGACCACTCTAGGACGGGTGTCGAGCACTCCCATGGCGGAGCCAAGACGTCTTACAGTGGTGTCGACCACTCCAAGACTGAGGTAGGGCACTCCTACAGTGTGGCCAAACACTGCAGGAGTTATGACGAGAAGTCCAGAAGTAGTGCCGAGCACTCAAGGTACTGTGCCAAGCACTCCGGTGGAACAGGGAACTCTATCGACGCCGATCGAGTTCGCCTCATCTCCCGGTGACATCACAGAGTTCATGGACACCTACCACGAAGGTGAGGAGGTGCGGTTCCATAGACTGGACGACATCATCGGCGGCACAGGTCCCTCAAGTCTGGCGGGCAGGCTACTCAATGACGCAGAGCTACTGCTTGTCAGTGCAGAGGAACCACCCATGTTCGTGCTGGCCGAGCACGATGGAAACTGGCGACGGGCGATGCTGGAGGAGATGAAGGCGATCAAAGAAAACGAGACTTGGCAGCTCATCGATCCACCTCCAGGATGCTGTCCAATCAGCCTGAAGTGGGTGTACAAGGCCAAGCGGGACAAGCTTGGTGCCATTGTCAAACACAAGGCGCGCTTCGTCGCCTGAGGCTTTGTTCAGCGCTAGGGCATAGACTTCGAGGAGGTCTTTGCGCCAGTAGCGCGCATGGAATCGGTCCGTTTGCTACTTGCTTTGGCAGCAGCAAAAGACTGGCGCGTCCATCACTTGGACGTTAAATCGGCCTTCCTCAACGGCGAACTAGTGGAAACGGTTTTCATCAGGCAACCTCCAGGTTTCGCCGTCAAGGGAGAGGAGCATAGGGTGCTCCAACTGCGCAAGGCGCTCTATAGGCTGCGGCAGGGCCCACGAGCATGGAACGCCAAGCTTGACGCCACGCTGGGCGAGCTTGGGTTTCCACGGTGCGCAACCGAGCACGCGCTCTACATGCGGTGACGGGGGAAGGAGGAGCACGTCGTCGGCGTGTATGTGGATGACTTAATCGTCACCGGCGCGCGCACGGAGGATGTCAACAGCTTCAAGCGTGAGATGGCGGCTCATTTTCGAATGAGCGATCTCGGCGCACTCTCCTACTACCTCGGCATCGAGGTGACACAGGGAAAGGAGGAACTCATGCTCGGTCAGAGCGCGTATGCCTCCAAGCTGTTGGAGAGGAGCGGCATGGTTGAGTGCAAGCCATGCGTTACTCCGATGGAGGAGCGGCTGAAGCTGATGAAGGTCAGCACCGCAAAAGGTGGATGCGACACTCTACCGAAGCATCGTCGGCGGTCTGCGATACCTAGTCCATACGAGGCCGGACATTGCGTTCGCCGTGGGCTACGTCAGTCGCTTCATGGAGGATCCCAGAGAGGATCACTGGGCTGCGGTAAAGTAGCTACTGCGCTACGTCAAGGGAATGGTAGATCATGGGATCATCTTCCCAAAGACCGGTGAGAGTAGGCTACAGCTCACTGTGTTCAGCGATGCAGACATGGCAGGGGACATCAACGGGCGATGGAGCATCTCTGGCGTGCTCGTCTTCCTCGGGTCGACCCAAATTTCATGGCTGTCGCTGAAGCAGAAGGTGGTGGCGCTATCTACATGCGAGGCAGAGTATGTAGCGGCGGCCACAGCGGCGTGCCAAGTTGTGTGGCTATGCCGGCTGCTGGGTGAGCAGACTGACGTGGAAGCTCACCCACTAGCACTGATGGTGGACAACCAGCCCGCCATCGCCCTGGCGAAGAATCCGATTTTGCACGACCGGAGTAAACACATCGACGTGAAGTTCCACTTCCTCAGGGACTGTGTCGATGGAGGGCAGATCGTCATCGAGTTCGTCGAAACTGGTCGGCAACTCGCGGACGTCCTCACCAAGCCGCTCGGACGTCTTCGACTCATGGAGCTGAAGGAGATGATCGGCATAGAGGGAATACAAGGGTTAGCAGTAGGATTAGGGGAAGATTGTTAGATAATTTATGTTACCTTGTGTGAACACAGCAAGGAAAAGGTGGCGCCGAAAAGGCCCCCTGCCGTGATACAGTAGTCACTGTAGGTGCAGGTGCCAAACTGCTCACCTGCAGCACTGTAGGCACATGCAGTGGCCGGCGTAGACTCAGCCCTGTATGTTATCTTGTCACTGTTGTAGCAGGGCAACTGTACTGGGACTAGATGGATAGAGATGTATAAATAGACTACCATGGCAACTCAGTAAAGAGAGTTTAGATTTGCCATCTCTCAGACAGGGCTTTGCCAACGCTGGTGTCTTGTACTGTGTGTGCATGCTCTGTTCTCCCTTCTTCTTCGAGCTATAGCCATAGTGTGTGGGTACGGACAACGCTTGTTCGTGGTCGGCACGGTTAGTGGGTGCTCGACAACACTAGCGAGTGCTCGGCAAGACTGGTGAGTGGTTCACTCACATGAGCCGGTGATCCGGGGGCCAACAAGACATAGGGTATTCCAGTAGGACCCACTTTGTTCTTGAAGATAGGAAAGAGCTCATTTGTTGTAATGAATAATAGAGTAATAGAGAAGGAAGGCAATTGATCCCCACTCCGTTCACATTTGTGATGTCAGTCTATCCGATTTTGCCAGCTTTTTCATTCAAACGATGGCAGCGCTGTGAATAATGTGTGCTTCAATCTTGTCGAATTCATACTAACAATACTTCTTGCCTCCACCAACCACCTCACCTTTTGAGTTGCTTATCAAGGCAGTTGCTGCCATACTGGTTATTCACTTGTATGACTGAGCGCTCCGGAACCGATGTTTACAGGCTGGCTGTTTCGGCGCTTTGTGTCCGTCAAATGTTTACGGTGCAAACGGATAACATTGTTTTCTGTTTGGATCATGCAGCCCGTAATAGATTACGCGGTAAATCATTCCAGCCGTATAGAAGGCCGCTCCCGCCTCCTTCAGAGCGGTATCGGTTCCCTTTACGCCCTCTCATCTCATCCTGCAGTTTCGATTGCCGTTCCCATTGCCGGTCTTTAACCAAACAGCACCTTAGTTAGAGTGGCAGCTTGCACTTGTTTCTTAGTGTTGCATACAGATGACATGACAAGGGAATTCTGGACTAGTTTTTATATGCAGTAGGTTGTTCCTGCTTGCATTTCTTGAATGTCTCAAAGTCCAACCATTCTGTCCTTGTTGAAATGAACCCCCAACCCCCAACAATGTATCGTTCTTTGTAGTCTAATATCTTTTTCTTCTTGGGTAGCCTGCATTCAGATCCTCCATGATTGCTGTAGGGCTAAATGCCATGTTACCTTTCTGTACAGTAAATATTACACACCAGGTATCCAAGTGACAAAACCAACACCAGACATTGAAAAAGGTGTGCTGACCATGAAGGTAATAAACCCAATGCTGAAGTCTGTTGTTCCCAAGGATGACTTAATTGCAGAAGCGAAGAGAAAGGGCAAGCGAGATCTTGACAAGAATGTGATGACTGCTGCAACTAAACATAAAACAATGCCAGAAGTTGTCAAAAATGAGTTTGCTATAAAGGTAATTGATCAAAATTCCAGTTGTCAACGATAATTTTCTCTAACTATATATAATTATATATCTTGTGATTTGATCAATTACCAAAAAAAATGGATTGAATTCCTTCAGGTGGAAGATAATCAGAATGATGAACTTAACAAAAAGGTAACAAAGGTGAAAGCAAAGGCAGTTGACAAGGATCTCTTGAATTCAACGACGAGGACAAAAGCAAAGCCAGATGCTGCCAGTGACGAGTTGATAGCAAAGGTAACAGCCATTTGACATTTTTCCTCATACATTACATGAAGATAGATAATCTGCTGTTTCTAGTTAATAGCTTTATTTTAAATACATTCAGGTGATCGATCATCATAGGAGAGGTGAGCTGCGTTTACTGAGAGTCACTGATCTGAAGTGCTTCCTCGGTGCAAAGAAAGCAAAAGTTGGAGGAACGAAGGAAGTGCTAATACAAAGAGTGACCGAGCTCCTTGCTTGACAAATGCATTGCTATTAGGAACAAGTTTCAACCTAACATGCATGTGAAGCTGTGCAAAGTACCTTTTTTCCTAATTGTTGCAATTTTTGAGGGAACGCAACTAGAATTGTTAACGTGGATTTTGATACGTCAATACCAGAAAGGCCTAAAGCCTGACTGAAGGTAGTCATATAAAAGGCCATTTCATCTATTGATACCTAAGATTTTAGGTAATGTGGAGGATAGGACTGTGAGACTACTACTGCATTATTATGTTATTTTGTCGCTGCCTTGAGAGCCCCTTTGTTTTTTGAGTTCTTTGATTTTCGAAAAAAAAACAAAGAAACACAAAAAAGAAGCTAATCGAGCCGTAACTTAGCTCCTGCCGCTAGTGTTTCTATCAAGAAACTAATTGTGCCGTAACCTCAGGGGCTGAAGACATGTAGTGCACCAAGGGAACTATCAGCTGCCACACGCAACTGGCAACTCCCTCTTCCCCAAGGCATCAGCAGTTCAGCCCAACCACCAGCCCCCACGAAATCGAGATCCCAGCCAATCAGTATACTTCCGATTTGGAGCAAATTAATAGCCACATTTTCTTATATATGCTCACTTCTGTTGCATTATTGAATGGTGCTTGCATTTCCAGCAGCGATGGTCACGTCGTCCAAGACGCAGGAAGCTCTGGCCTTGATGTCGCTCGCCGTGCTCGCCAACGCCGCCGCCGCTGCAGGCGATGCGTCGTCCTGCCCCAAGCTCACCATGCACAACCTCTGTCCTTACCCGGTCTGGCCGGGTACCCCTCCGTCGCCGGCACCAAAGCCCGCCTCGACGGGAACGGCGAGGGCCTGGTGACCATGGCACTGCCGCAAGGCGCGTGGTCGGGCCGTGTGGTGGCGCGCACAGGGTGCGCTGACGATGGCATGGCGTGCGGCGACGACTGCAGCCCTCCGGCAGTGCGAGACCGGCAACGCGCCGCCGGGGACGGTGGCGCAGGTGAGCGTGGGCGGGCTGGCGGTGTACAGCGTGAGCCTGGTGGACGGGTTCAACGTGCCCATGGTGGTGACGCCGCACGACTTCGCGGCGGGGGCGCAGTGCCCGACGCTGGGGTGCGCCGTGGACCTCACCCAGGACCAGGAGTGCTGCCCCGCCGGCGCCGGGGCGCCCCAGGGCAGCTGCGGACCCGGGGGCACGCAAGCGGCGCTGTTCAAGGCCAAGTGTCCCGACACGAGGACAACCTCGACGGACATCGAGGCAACGCCGCAGGACTGCATCGCGCCCGGCGAGCTCAAGGTCGTCTTCTGCCCGGCACGGACTGCACGGCCAGTTGTAACTAGCTAGGCGTACGTCCTGGTCGGTCGCTCACTTGGCGCACGAAGACTACGTGTTTTGCATCTGGATCGGACTGTTCACAACGTCCTGCACTGCTATATGCATGTATGTGTACCAATTGGTGTGAGGAACTGATAATAGGGAGTGCTTTGTACCTGTGTCAGAAAGTGGATGGCATATTGTCATCAGTAGGTAGATAGAAGAAATGAAATGCAGATTTAAGCTGTTTGCCTTGTTCTTTTTGCACCAGTGTCTCAGCGAGGAGCATCTGGCATCAAACAATTAGGCTCGGTAGGCGTCGCTGTGGTCAGGAAGCACCGCATTATAAATTTATAATGCCTCCAGAAGTTCTGCCTGTATTATTTCGTCTTTAAAAATCTCTCAAAGATGTCAAGTCAGCTACTGCTGTTGCTAATGATTTTTTTCTAACACATCATTTGTGTAAGGGAAAGACCAGTGCCAGACGCCAGACGCCGCGTCCTGCATGCGACAGGAAATGGCACAGGCACACTTCCCTGGATGCATGCGGCCAACGGAAGGGATGCGTGTACCACGCCTCCACACCCACTTTGCCTGGGTGGGCCCCACAACGTATGCATGCAACTCCTGCCCCGCTTGCCGGCATTGCTACTGCCGCACCTGTCCATGCATTGCTGCTGTTGTTGTCACCGCGCATTGCTACTGCCGCGCCTGCCGGCTGGGCCGCACCTGCTATTGTGGGTAGCATGCAACATGTGAGGCCGCCCCACACGCTGCTGCTGTTGTCGTCGCGCATTGCTGCTGCCATGCCTACCGGCTGGGCCCCACCTACTGTTGTGGTATGCATGCGCCTACGCATGCATGTGGGGCCGCCGCGCTCGCTTTCACTTCCCGCATGCACGAGGGGACCACCTCCGTCTGCACCCACTTCCCGCGTCTAGTCATACAACACTTGCAATATAAAGCATTTGCTGCAATATATGTCCGAAACAAATGAAACATTTACAAACATATGCTTGCAATATATGTGTATGGCAACTACAGCATATGCAACTCCAGATACAACACTTGCAACATACGTTTGAAACAGCTGAAATATTTGAAATATACAGTTGCAACATACGTGTATAGCCAGTGCAACATATGCAACATCTAGATAAAGCACTTGCAACATACGTTCAAAACAACTGAAACATTTGAAACATACACACTTGCAACAAATGTGTATAGCCATTTGCAACATATGCAACGATTAGATAAAACACTTGTGACATAAGTTTGAAACAACTAAAACATTTAAAACATACACTTGCAACATACGTATATAGCCATTGCAACATATACAACATCTAGATGAAACATACATCCAAAACGCATGAAACATATGGAGCTAGATGCCATGGAGTGATAGAAAAATTTGGGCCAGCCAAAAGATCCTTGTTTGGTTTTAGTAATTGAGTAACAACCTAGGTGAACTAATTATAGTTATGTGAGATACACATGTGATTAGTCCACATGTATACTTGTGTGAGCAACTCATGCCATGACGGTGAAGATGGCTTGGATTTTTGTTGAAAAGCTCACATATGTGATGAAGGAGCTCATTGCATATGAGACATGACATTGAGTCATGTGACTAAGGTGGAGAAGATCAAGACAAGACTTGGTTTGATGGACCGGTTGTAAGTGTGAAGGGAAAGTTGAGTGATGACTTGGCGCTGATGGACCGAAGCAACGGTGAAGAGCAAGTGAAGTCAAGATCAATGAACCAATACGGTCACATGATGATATGAAGTGGATCATATCATTTGTGATCATGTTGGTGCATGTGTTGCATCGACATTGGAGGAGATGAAATGAAATGCGCAAGGCAAAGGTATATTTGTAGGGCATTTCATTTCACCGGTCATAGGTGTGTAGAGAAGTTTATGATCAGGTTTAGGATAGATGGCCGTACTATCAAGAGGGGCAAACTTGTTTGCATATTGGCCATCTAGTGCCACTCGAGTGATTTAACTTTGCATCGTTGCTAAGATTGAGTGGCGTGGTGAAAAGAGAGCTAATCCTTTGATAAAATGTTTGTGAAAAACTAACACACATGCACATGATGTTGTATACTTGGTGGTGTTGGCACATTTGCAAAGGAGAAGAAAATTGTGCTAAAGTGAATGAAGGAGAGCACACATGGAGCCTTGTGTGCGCCCGACTTCTCTTTCATTGCATGCACTTTGAGAAGGGTAAAAATAGGCAAGCATTGCATGCACTCTAAGCCAAAGAGAGGGAGTGTGTGGCTGCATGCTTTGCTTTGTTGATCAAGTGAAAGGATGCACTGAAAGAAATGAGTGGTCGACGTGACCGACACTGTTGACACTAGATATGGCAAACAGATAAATCCACAAGCGCATGGATATCAATGTAGCTTTCATCTGGGAGTATTTCATGGTATCGAATTTCCATGGGGAACGTGAAGTGGACTAGTGAAGAACTAAGAGTGTCCAAGGATAGAACAATGACAGGGGATAACAGTAGAGAGATGATCTCTGTGGTTTCTAAGATACTAAGGCAAGACTAAGAAAGGTTATATCAAGGTTGTTTACTTTGGGGCATACCTACCCTAACCTCACCCAAAGGGTTGATTGATTGGGCACAAAGCATAACGAGCCCTATGATTTAATAACTAGAACCAATGTGGTGGAATACAGAGGATGGATATAGGCTGTCACCACCTGCCACCAACCACAATCTATCTAGGGATCTAGCCATAAACACAAACAAGCTATAGCCTAAGCACCACACTTAATCTATAGACTCACTACTCCAATCTAGGCCTCGATGAAATAAGATCGGAGTACTCTAACCAAGCGGTGAAACTTGTAAACAACAGTATATAAACAACACTTAAGTAATGCAAAAGAACAGAGTTACCACACAGAAGATGCTGGACTTCAATTGAAGAAGAGCTTCATCCACCGAGGCACAAGTGGAGAGGATGCCGACAACCCTAGCTCCTCCCGAAGCTTCTCCTCACTCTCTCCCTAGATTCTACTTCTAAGTGTAGTAGCTACAGAGCTTCACCTTGCGACTATTCTACTAGATATGAATGAGATGGGATGGAATGATTACAAATGAGCTCTACACCACTATTTATAGCTCTCCAAGGTCGATTCCTGCAAGGGGGGTACTTGTAGACGTCAAGGGAGGTCGGTGGCCAAACTTGGGTGTTGGTCGACATCCTTAACCATCAGCCAATGGTCCATTTCCACTGACATACGATCCAGTGGCTTGGATGGACTCCTGATGGCGGTTGAATGCTGGTAAGGTGGTTTCTTTGGTCGGTAACTCCCTTTTGAGTATGACAATGGGCCCTCCAATCCATGTGACATGTGTTGATAGCCCTTGGATCAAACTGACTTTAAATCAATGTATGGATGTGTTCCATGTGGCCTAGCACATGGATTGGTGATGTGTCCATGGCAGGGAGAGGCAGTTTGGTGCTCCTAGGCCATTGCCTGACGTTGTGGGCCATTGCCCGACATGGCCCAGGGCCCTCTAGGGTCAAGAGCACCTCCCATGTCCTTCCCAGGGAGTGGAGAGGCCTTGTGAAAAGTTTAGTGGCCTTTGGATACTTGTCCACGTCACTCGACCTGAGCCCAGGTCGCTCGACGTCCAGTGTGTCCAAACCGAGCCTGACCCGTCTTGCGATCTTCTGGAAGGCATAACTTTGTCATCTGGACTTCGAATTGGGTAAACCAAAACTCGATTTCATGTATCTTGATGAGATCTTCGACTTGGTGTAGTTAAAATGAGCATTTGATGAAGTGTTTTTGCATGTATATGGCCACCTTATTCCTACACTCACATAGTCATCACAACTTGTGGAAATGGTTAGAAATAAGACTTATGAGTACGGTTTTTATCATTTCTATGACCAATTTAGGCATTGTTGATGGTATAAAATGGGTTGTTATGGACCATCAATAAGCTCCCCCACATCAAACCTTTGCTCGTCCCGAGTAAAGGATTCGAACAAGAAAGATGACTGAGCAAAGATTCAGGTGGATTTGATGCACAACTTTCGTAGGATATTATACAAGCATAAAAGATATTCCAAGTTACATACTCATACCTGTGGGTTTTGAAGTGGCTAGAACCTCACCTTGGGCTATTGAGAAATGGAACAGTTTTGACTTGAAGAAATAGATCACTTCTTCTTCTCAAGTAAGATTGAAGTTTTTCACAATATTTTTTTATAACAACACATAGCTTATGTTACTTCTCATATGGTTCTCTCAAATCACTCAGTGGTATTTGTGTATTTGTCCTCACCAAGATCTTTCTTTGCCTCAAGGCCCTACAACTATGGCTTATGTGGAGTCTTGGGTAGGAGAACTTGAAAGGCATACTTAGAATGTTTATATTGTAAAGTCAAAGCATGGATCCATAAAGGAAAACAACATACAAACTATGATCAAGAGTGCAAGTGTGTGGATATGAGTGGAAGTATTAACTCCTTAAAGATTCTCTCTCCAAATCTAGGTGCTTGAGATCATGGGCTATCTTTGATGCTAATCCTCTTTTTTTTGCTCGACACTTTTTTTTACTCATCTCTCTCTCTCTTTTATCATCTTTTCCAACTCATTTTTAACTCTCTTTTTTCATCTCTCTTTTTTTCATAACATATAGCCCATGTCTCTTTTTTAGACTTGTATGGAGAACGGAGAGAGATCTTGAATACATGGAGTCTGTATTTTGTGGAAAGGTGGAAAAGCATGGTTGTGGGGAGGTGGAAAGGAATGTTTGTGGAGAGGTAAAAAGGCATATCTATGCTAGCTCTTAGTGTAAGAACATAGCTAAGTGTGGAAAGCATGTTTTTGCTTACTCTCGGTGTAAGAGTAAAGCATACATGGTGAAGTGTATGTGCTCTTGATCATGTAAGCATGGTGCATCACTCACTAGGGTCACACAATTTGACAAAACTCAAAACAAAATCTAAGTAGCAAGAAAGTGTGGGTTTGTCAAGATATTGCCTA